GTCAAGAAATCTGTAAACCAAAAATATCGGCGAACAAAACTGATCAAATTATTAAAAAAAATTAAAATATTTGGATCTACTACAGAAAAACAAAAACAACAGAGAATTTTATTATTACGGAAAAAATATTACAAAGCCGAAAGAGCAAAAAAAAGAGCTAAATATGTAGCAAATAAATTAAGAGAAGAACTTATGAATAATATGACAAAGACTGAAAACATTTCTATAAAAAATATAGAAGATCAATGAAAAAAAAACAAATTCCTCAACATCAGTTAATTGCAATACAAGAAATAATAAAAACTACAAAACATAAAAATCTTAAAGGTCGTAGATACAATAAAGAATGGATTTTATTATGTATGTTAATGCACATGAAATCACCTAAGGCGTACAATTTCTTAAGAGATAATCAAATATTACCCGTTCCGTGTGTTAGAACTATACAAAGGTATAATGTAATTTTGCTTTAAGTTTTTATTATTTTAATGTAATATTTAGTCAGAATTATGTAATTATTACAATATGTTCAAAAAAGCAATTTTTTAGTCTTTTAATGCAATATAAATTTCTTTAGATATCTTTCTCTCATTGATTCTTCATGTGGCTTCGATATGAGATTTTTTGAAATGTTTAAATTAGCGTTGGATAAAAAAGAAGAAATACAAAAACATGGTGTAATTCTGCTAGATGAAATACATCTCAGGGAATCTGTTAATGTAAACTCCAAAAATCTTACATATACAGGGTTGATTGATTTCGGGAGTGAAAATATACGACCAATTAATCTTGATGAAACAGCAGATCATGGTTTAGTGATAATGTTTCAACCACTAGCAGATTTTTATTCTCAACCAATTGCAGTATTTGCTTCAAAGGGATCTGTAGTAGGAGAAGTACTTGCGCAACTTATAATTAAAGTACGCATGATGTAACGCAATTTATTTATATGCAGTAATAATTCTCACTCAAAATCGTAAAAAATTGAAAAATGTAATATTTTTACTAATTTTATTTTTTTTATAGGCTATAGCATTATTAGAAAATATCAATGTTAAAGTTCACGGTATAATTACCGATGGCGCTGCAACAAATAGAAAATTCTGGGATACACTAGGTGTACAGGGTGCGTCGCCAAAATCCGGACAAATTTCAATTTGATATTCCCTCCGTTCAGTACCATTGGCAGATGTCGCAATTGGCATTCAAATAGCTTGACGCATGTACTAAACTACCATAACTTCGAAACAGTCGCAATGTTGAAACCC